AAGATCATTGCTGATGTCCTTACTCTTTGGCATTGTGTTAACACACACCTCAGTGCTTGAGACCAGCAAACTCCTAAAACTTCAGCTTTTATAGAGGTAGTCACACTTGCTGATGATCAGTTGATCAAGGGCATTTGATTAGCAGCACTTGGCTGCTACTTAGCCTTTTCATACCTATGGAAGCAGTAAGGGTGTACTTAGTTTTTCACACATGGCTTCTCCATTTTGGCTTTCTTTTTGTAAAATAAATGATGACATGGTGTAATATGTCATGTGTTGTTGTTCATCTGCGGTTGTATTTGCCTACTTTTGAGAACTGCTAAGGACCAGATGATTTTTTATTATGTCCTGATACGTAAAACCATAGAACTCAAAAAGATCATTGGTGATGTCTTGACTCTTCGGCATTGTGTTAACAAACGCCTCAATGCTCGAGACCAGCAAACTCCTAAAACTTCAGCTTTTATAGAGGTAGTCACACTTGCTGATGCTCAATTGATCAAGGGCATTTGATTAGCAGCACTTGGCTGCTACTTAGCCTTTTCATACCTATGGAAGCAGTAAGGGTGTACTTAGTTTTTCACACATGGCTTCTCCATTTTGGCTTTCTTTTTGTAAAATAAATGATGACATGGTGTAATATGTCATGTGTTGTTGTTCATCTGCGGTTGTATTTGCCTACTTTTGAGAACTGCTAAGGACCAGATGATTTTTTATTATGTCCTGATACGTAAAACCATAGAACTCAAAGAGGGTGTACTTTCTTTTTCACATGACTGTATATGTATATAATAAAATGTATATAGCTGATGCATGAGTGTGTGTGTGTGTGTGTGTGTGCATGCATGTGTGTATGTTGATGAGCCTCATCTTTGTCATAAAAGGACCTCTGGAAATATACTGGGCAAATAGATTGCTTCATAGGTATTTTCTGAACTGAAAACATTTTATTTCTAAAAGATTCCAATGTGAATTTATCCACTGGTTCATACTGATGGGAACCACTATGATGCAATTGTTAAAGTGTTGGAATAAGGCTGGGAGACCCAGATTGTCCACCACCAGTCATGGGAATTCACTGGGTGAACTGGGCCATTCATTCTCTTTTAGCACGGCCTACGACACAGGAGTGTTGAAATGGGAATGAATGGAGATGTTTGTTTGTTTGATTGATTGATTACCTGCATCAAGTCATTTTCAAGTCCTAGTGACCACATATATAGATCTTCTCCAAGAGAATGGAGATGTAATTTACCATAATCTGGAAAATAGTAAATCTGATTTATATTTTTTTTATTTTATGCAATACAACTCAGTACATTTTTATTTAGTCACACACACAGTTAGCTTGGTTTCTTTGCCTCTTGTTCCTCAGCTCAGGCCTCTGCAACCTAGCATAACACTTCGGAAAAAAAGATATAAGCCTCTAAACTAGGGCTGGAAGCCAAGGTGGAGAAGATCTCCACTGCTAACATGTATTTCCCCTTGGTATTCAGAATGTACTTGAAACAAACAGATAGTGCTGCAAAAATCCATCATGTGGATTGGTTTCATTAAAGCTATTGGATAACTGCCTAAGGAAAAAAAAAAAAAAGCTTCAGAGGAGCTGACAGTGGCCAGGACATCTTTAAAGCCCAGGATATACTAGAACATGGCTGTAGAATTTTCATTACATCCTAGTATAAATTCTTTAGCACTAAGGGCATATCCAGACCAAGGAATGGAGGAGAGTTGATCAGCCATTAAAATTTTTAAACAAATGAGCAGGAAACAGAAATAGATTTAGCAGATAATTTCCCCATAGATTTCCTCATTTTGCAATTGGGTTTGGTGGCCATGAAAACAAGAATCACTATTGCTAATCTGAAACCAACTCAAATCAAATTTTATTACCATCATAGACCAGGGAAAAAATGAAATAACAACAATGGCTAAGCTGATTTCCAAAGATTCTTCATAAGACAAGAAATTCTCTTTTTTTGGAATGCCTAAATCCTGGCTGTTGTTTGGGAATTAACCTTCAGAACACAGAAAGCAGTCATTTCTATCTAAAAAAGGAAGTGTGGTTGTTAGTATACAGTAATTCTCCATGCCATTGTTCGGCTAACTTAAATACTATGCCACTCTGAAGAAGAATTGATTTACTGTAGGAAGGAAGGAAGGAAGGAAGGAAGGAAGGAAGATGAAAATCAGTAAAATACACCAAGTATCATAGTTTTCCCAATTTTATTGAGCATTTTCGAATGTTACAACTGCAAAATGCAAGCTGTTCAAATACACTGCACAGATGTTTGAACTGAGCTGTGAAAATGATGTTAATGGTACTAGGAATTGGGGTCTGCTACAACATCAGTTCTGTTGGGATTAATATCCAAAAAAGAAACTAACATTAAAATCAATCTAGCAATTTATTAAGTAATAGTTGAGCCTAAAGCTCTAAAGCCAATCAAATAATAGTTACTAATTAATGGCAAATTATATTTAAAACTAACATAAGCAATAAAAGAAGCAGTTAAAAAAAAACTATGAAAATGTAGTACGTTGTTGAATTCAATGACAGAAAGGCGAGGAATCCAGGCAGTAGTATATTTGTTGCAATGGGAAGAAAGCAGAAGGTTCAGAGGGTAACACATTTAATTCAATGGGAGAAAGACAAGGAGTTTGCTAATGGGAGAAGCACTTGGAGTTCAGACAGTAGAGTACTGAACTCAAAGAAAAATAGAGGCATGAAGTTCTGTGCTGCTTAATTACCACAATGAAGGATGATGTGATTTATGTAAGAGTCGCTGCATTCGATGCTGAATAAAGACTCCATGAGACGCAGGCTCGTACAAAAGCAATTTACTCAGGTGTAATGCATGTGGTTACAAACAAAGCCAGGGTTGGCTTGGCACAGGTTACATAGCATTTTATAGTCTCCCCGGTTCCTGCGCTTTGCAAGTCCCGCCTGCTGACCACCCTTGACTGCCCCTGCCCGCCTTTGCACATCCCTGGCTCCCCCCATTGCCCTTGGCTCTCCCTGCCCTGGGTCAATGGCAGGTTCAGCCAGGGTCTTTTGTTTTCTGCTGCTTTCCTTGCATGCCAGGTCCCGTGAGGCTGACTTACGATTACCCTTGATGGGCGGTTGAGCGCGGATTCAGCTGCAGAGTTCTTTGTCTTCATTGTTGGCTGCTTGGCTGCAGCAATTGGGGGAAGTCCCATTTGTTGCAAAGTAATTGATTCCTGCTGTGGGTTGATTGCCACCACCTGTCAGCAGTTTACTTGCAGTTTTGCGCTTCCTCTTTTGATTGCCTGCACCTGAGGCAAGGAAACTGATTAGGCGCATTTGAAATTAGCTAGGTGGAATGGCAGCTAGCTTGAATGGTGTGTGCCCTGCCAGGCTGAACCTGACAATTTAGGCATGGAGTTCAGAGAGTACCAGAAAAAGTGGGGGAAATTTAAATAACTTTTTCACAAGTATTGCTTCACTTGGGAATGGAGAAATAGAGAGGATGTTTCTGGATTGAAGAAAGTAGAGAGGGAACAATCACCTTTCCATTTCAGTTTGTGCACCAATCTTTGGAAATTAGTATTTGATGGATTTTCCAACAGTTGGAAGGGAAGGAAGATATGGTCCCTATCAATATCTGCTTGGCCAGTGTGCTTTGGCTGGGACTGTTCACTATGTTCCTCAGATTTCTGAAGTTATGGTTAGAGCTGGAAGATCAAGCTATTTCTAAGTCTCAGCATTGCTATATTGCTTCCTTTGTCTGATTTTGGATCTAGCTGCTCACGTGAAACTGGCTGCTTGTTCCAGACTCTGAAATGCAAAACAACACAGCTGCTTTATGGATCCAGGAAGGCTGTTCTTCCAAAGGCTAAGGCAACATACTGGAGAAATTGGATTCAACTTCTGTAAGACCCAGCAATGTACTTGAGACTGTAATGTAAATCTAATTCAGTAACAGGATCCTGAGACATCTCTTCCTATTTGGGAATCCTACTAGCTGTGATCAAGGTAAGTCTCAGGGTTCCTTTAATCAGTGTTTTTCACTCCTTAGGTGACTATATTGTTAAGTTTGCACAAATTTTGAGCTAAACCAGGGATACCATTTAAATGAGGAGGAACAAATCTAATTAACAATGGTGTAGACAAAAGTATTTTGTGAACAGGCCTGGAGTCTAATCAGCAGTTTCTGGATCAGGAATATTAATGGTAAACCATAAAAAAAGAAAAGAATAACTCAGAATAAATTATAAATTTCCTAATCAAGTAAATAACACAGCCTGTTGCTGATTAAAAAAAAAAAAAAAAAGCCTCACTATCTCTCCAGTTGGGATTTAAGATGGAGAGAAACAGGGTGGAAGGGGGGAATAACCTTAATCTGTTCTTTGAGGTCAGTTTTATTACTCGAGGTGCTTATTAAGAGCCCTAAGAACAATTTCATTTTATTGCACCTTTCTTGGAATGTGATTTAACCACATATATTTCCTTCAGAAGGGTCATCAAGCTTGACTTTTTTTAATGCTTCCTCTTTAAGAGTTGCTTCTTGTCATTCAGTTCTGGCCTCACCACAATAATATAGCATTTGGGGAAAAAGATGAAGCCTAATAATCCAAAACTAGAGGCCAACATGGAGAAGATCTCCACAGCCACCATGTATTTTCCTTTGGTGCTCAGGTAACTTGGAACAAAGGACAACCAAACACTGCAAAAAACTAACATGCTGAAAGTAATAAATTTGGCTTCATTGAAACAGTTAGGTAATTTCCTAGAAAGAAAAGCCACTGTAAAATTGATCATGGCTAACATTCCCATGAATCCCAGGACACAATAGAAAATTACAGTAGAACCTTCATTGCATTCTAAAATGATTTCTTCAGGCAGGGAGTATACATCAAAATGGAGAAATGGAGGAGAGGTTATCAGCCAAACAGTGCAAATGATGGCTTGGATTAAGGAACCAAAAAGAACAATGGAGTTTGCCAAACCTTTTCCCATCCATTTTTTCATCCTTAATCCAGGTTTGCTGGCCATGAAAGCTAGCACTACAATGATGGTTTTGGCCAACACACAAGAAACTGCCACAGAGAAGATGATAGCAAAAGCAGGTTGTTGAAAGAGACACATCACCTTGTTGGGATGGCCAATGAATAGAGAAACACAAAGGAAGGAAAGCAGCAGGGAAATGAGGAGCAAGTAGGTGAGGTTTCGATTGTTGGCCTTGACAATTGGAGTGTCTTGGTACTTAATAAAGATCCAAAGGACCCAAGTTGTGATGAAAGAAAAGGAGAGAGCAAGCATGGCCAAAACAACCCCCAGGGGTTCTTCATATGACAAGAAGTGTATGTCTTTAGGGATGCAGGAATCCTGGTTGTGGTTTGCATAGGAACCTTCTGGACATTGGGAGCAGTCATCTGAGTCTGGGGAAAAAAGAATATATCTGTCTGTCTGCTATCAAACTACCTTGCTTCCTGGATGATGCCAGTAGTAAGTCCCTTTCATATCACTGCCACAAAAACTCTATGTGCCCATGATGTCACCAAGAGTTAAACTGGACTTCTAAAGAGACTTTATTTTTATTAGAACTAATTAGAGCCAGTTTGGTGTAGTGGTTAAGGCACCAGGCTAGAAGCCGGGAGACTGTAAGCTCTAGTCCCACATTAGGCATGAAGCCAGCAGGGTGACTTTGAGCCAGTCACTCTCTCACAGCCCTAGGAAGGAGGCAATGGCAAACCACCCACCAGGAGTCAAGACCAATTCAAAGGCACACAACAAATAAATAAGTAGAAAGCAAAATATTGGAAAGTGTATCTTTCATTTCTTCCTTACTACAGTAGCTGAGTAATTTAAAGTAAACATCATAAAACAAACATCTGTTTAGGTCCTCTAAATTACACCTGAGGAATTATAGCTAAAACAATAAGCAAAGCACAAGCAACAAAGAGAGAAAGCTGGTTCCATGACACCTCTTACCCTGCTGCTGAGACACCTTCCCGAGTGGACATCGAAGGCAATCGTAGCAGCAAAATGGCTTCCCTTCCTTTGTGGCTTTTCTATAACCAGGGCTGCATTTATTGTTACACAGAGAAAGAGGTTGGGCCTGTGTGTGAATGAAGGAAGAAGATATCTTAAGTTTCAGAAAATACTTCCCACAGTATTCATCATGTTGGTTGGTCAGAACAATTCAGAGGAGCCTCAAGAGTAAACTACATCCTCACCTGATTAAAGGAGCTGGGCCACATGAAGTTATCAACAAAAGTTGTGAAAAAATTGCTTTCAGGAGCAAAGGGATCCACCTTTCCTACTTTTATTCTGACAAATGACAGATTTGGGAATGTGACCCAATTGATAACATCAAATCCAGCTACTAATTCTCCATTTGAATCAAAAGAAATTTCATCTCCAGCACTATTGTTGAATGAGAGGCTTCTTAGATAACGATGGAGCTAAATTGAAATAATAATAATAATAATAATAATAATAATAATAATATAATTAATAATTAATAATAAACAGGCTGGTTATTGGTACTGATGACTAATACAGGGTTGATAATTTACAAGGTACTTTCATGCATGTTTTAAAAATGTTATGCATGCTAGTATTAATAATTAAGCATTACACTCAGACAGAATAGTCAATTGTAAAGAATATTTGTTGTTCAACAGCTGGATAAATGAATGAGTTTATTAATTGTTCTGTAAAACTGATGTAAAGTATGAATTTATCTTATTTGGTTCAAGTAACTTATTCCCGCAGGGGGAGTAGATAGTCACAGTATCCTAACCATGGGACCATTTTATGTCCCTTGGATGATCTTTTTTGACCCCTCACCCCATCCCAACACTTAGATGGTATATCAAAATATAGTTCGTTTTCTCTAAAACTATATCACCTATTCCTTATTTCTGTTTGTCATACCAGGCCTGTCTACATATTAATCCACTCCAAATATTATCATCTACATAGTTCAATTATTCCCTAATTTTTCTGTTCCCCATCTTGGTAGTTGCAGAAAGAAACATACATGTTGGCCATGAAGTGTTCAGAATTGCTCACATGGAATCTGACCCTAAACTGGGCCAATGGTTGCACTTCAAATATGAATGAAAAGATAGGGCAGAGATAGAAAAGTATCCATGGAGATTTAGGACATGAGTGTCTGTAAAGGAGGGCAAGGAGATTCAATTGATGAACATAGTGATACAATCTCAGGCCCTTTTGTACTTGCATCATTATGTTATACACAGTACTTCAGGGGCAGAGCTCATATTAAATGCTTTAACAGTTTTTTTTGCTCATTTAAAAAAAAAAAATCTTGTGTTCCAATGGGCACCTGCTCATCAAGTGACACCAGAAACCCACTACTACACTGGTTATCACTACTGATCACTAGGATGTACTATGTAACCAACCAGTATGAAGGCATAGATAGCCTTCACTGGTTATGTCTTATATATTGTATGTTCCAACTTTTTACTGGGATTTAAACTCCTGATGAGGTCTGAATTCTCTCAAACTGGAATTTGAGTTCATTGCATCTAAAGACCACTACCTGGGAACAGAAAGTTATTTTCCTTTCCATTCTACTATGAAGAGAACTAAGGTTGACCACGCAGATACAATGACCTATTATGTATAGTGATATTAGGACATTACCTGCCACAGTTGGTCATTCTGAAGCTTCTGATTTGGACCATTCCGTTCCAAGGACTGCATTTCATGCAATGCATGTGCCACAGCATAGACAGCATTGTAGACACTGTAGCTATGGCCTGTCATGCTCATTTCAAACACAGAACCAGGAAGAGACTCCAGTTTCTCTTCCCCAGTGCAGTTCTTCTCAGCTGTCCCATGTGAGAAGGAGTCAGGGAAGGAGCAAAGAAATACCTCCTTCCAGAATCCTCTGATAAACCCATCTGCTATTTCTGAGATAGGTTGTCTCATCTGAAGAAATCTCTGGAAGCCCATCACCACCTTGGAGTGAATTGCAAGAGAGAAAGCCCCGTGAAGGATATTGATCTGCATATCTCTTTGGAAGTGGAGAAAAGTGAACTCCACCTGGGCTACCATGATCCAGACTATCCCTTTTTCCTGTTCTGGCAACCTAGCAAAATCTGCAACCCATGGGAACAATCTCAACATCAGAATGCTCTGAATCTCTCCATGAAAGAAGACAACATTTACTGTACTGTTGATAACAACTTTGTATATTTCAAAAAATCGTTCTATAATTCTTTCAAAGCCACTTGTGAAATCTACTGCAGGCAATTCTAGTATGAACTCAAAGCAAATCCCATTCTGGGAAAACATAGGGAGCACGTTCCATAATAATCTTTCTCCATTTTTGTAATTTAGAAATATCACGCCAATCCATGTCCACCCAAAATGCAATAGCAATTGCACAATCCCTTTATACTGGTAATTCCCATTTGGAAACATTTGGTGGAAGAAAGCTTCTTCAGTTTGGTCGTTTAGCACTGGAGACGAGCCATATGCAAGCTGGAGAGATTTAGAATCATATAAAAAATATAATAAAAAGATGAGGAGAGATGGTTAAAGTAAAAGAACAAATTTTCTTCTCTCTCGGTAGAGACAGAGACACAGAGAGATTCATTTAAAGAGAGTTTAATGCCCAATTTCAATTTCTGACCAGTCCTTCTTATCATTGCGACACCATGGCCATACCATCTTTCCTCCCTCTAGATTTCCAATAAAACACATAACTTAATATCACATATAACATTTTCTAATCATGATTGGAAGCCAGACTCTGAGAGCTGTTGGGAGTCAAGTACCCAACAATTTATTTGTATGTATGTATAAATAAAAATTTTCCTCATAACATTTAAAAAGCGTGACAAAATTGTCATGTGATCAGAGTTCTGTCATGAAAAGTGGAATGGCTCACTGATGATTTCAAGTGGAAAAGTGGACTCTTTACATACCCTCAAATACATTGATTATGTGCCATCAAGTCATTTTCGCCTATTATAGACCACGTATAAAGATTTTCTCCATGATAGTCTGTCTCTAATTACTTGCTAGACCATGCCACCAATCAAAAGGATGTGACCCAGTACAAACTACCAAAAGCTACTAAAGTCTTGTCCTAATCTGATTTTCCTGTTGAAATAAACTGTTTTGGTCAAGCACCTGATAGATCACAAAACCAAGGCCTCTATAAATATCCTCAAATATTAAGGTTTCTTGTAAGGTTCAGTCACTGTGTCTGATAAATTTTACCTGGTAAAGTCAATATTTTTGTTTTATTTTTAATTGCAGGTGATTATTTCTGACTTCTGCTGGATTTTAATAAATGTACCAAGATTACCCCCCCACACACACACACATACACTTCAAATGGGAGGTCTGCAAGCTTCTTCCTCCCTGCCCAATGGCTGATTGAGATAACCCTTCTGCTACCCCCCCGCCAATCCTTACTCAAGATCACACTAGGTGTATTTACCCGGAGCTTATTATTGGTGAAAATTTCTCTCAATTTCTTTGAAAGAATTTATTGTGTCACTGAACAGGTAAGAATAATGTGCATAGTAACTGAATGCTCATACATCATGTCACCCCCCCCTTACCTGAGGAATCTTGAAAGTGCTCAGAATTCTGGCCATCAAAATAGAGACATCAGGAATTGGTCCACCAATAACTGCCACTGGATTCATTTCCCCATCACACTTGAAATTAGGAATCAGTCTGTCCTTACTGAAGAGAATGGCCATTGAAGCCAGAGAGGTCCCCCTTGGAATGAAGTTGCTATCTATGATATGAAAACCCAGGGTAATATTTGGTAAGATCTGAGCATTTTCGTTGATCTCCTTTATAGCAAATTCCAAGGCTAGGATGTGTTGGTAGATTTGAACAAATATCCTGCAATGATAATTATTTTTCTCTAACTCACTATCCTGCTACTAGAGAAAAATAAATGCTAAATTCAGTGCATACTTCCCAGCTTTTAAATAAGCCTGTGTGTCTTATAGTGAAATTAAAAAAAAGATTATGACAGTGGTACAGAATATGAGAATAGTACATCTGCTAGTGTCTTCCTAGAACATTCTGGAAGGAGATGCTGTCACTAGGAGAAGGTTTTCAGCATAAATTTGAAGGTTGGAGGTTCAGCCAGCATCAGTCAGGAAACAGTCTGCCAATTCAAAACAATATTTGGACCTCTTCCCAAACAAGGCACAACTCAAGAGTGGAATGGCTATGAATAGTAACTCTATGAGCCAAGGTGTTAGTGCACCACTGTATCATACTGTGAATATCGTGCAACAACGTTACACAACAGTCTGGTTCCAGTAAAGGAAGGTATTATGAATTAGAACTAGAGTAAGCACAGAAGTTTTGATTACGCATCTCTACCACTTCTGCAGAAATGAAGCCTCAAGTCAATTTTTGTTCACTGCAATCCCCTAACCTTAGTAGTATTTTTAGCAAACTTTTGCAGGGAATCGTATCAGCCAGATAGCAAGGGGGTGGGGGGAAGCTTCCTTGAGAAAACCTGATGATGGCATTGTCCACTTCTCTGAACCTAACACCCTCTAGATCCTGCTGCATGAGAAGATGTGTACAAAAGGCTGATATCAGTAATGATCATAATAAAACAAACACTTCCTTACAGGTAATCTTCAAACACTTCAAGAGTGGGATGTGTTGTGAAGGTTACAGGATTAGCAATGATGAAGCTCTGAGAAATAATTCCTGCAATGACAAGGTCCCCAGACTGATAATTCTGTAAAGGAAGCTGGAAAAGTCTATCCAAAATACAATTACTATTGGCAGCAGCACTGCCCACCATAAGGGGTAGCGCTGCTAATACAGTTGCCAAAAGTAGGATAGCCTTGTATGAAGGTCTTGTTCTGAGGCACAAATCAATTAGTTCTTTCATTGTTACTCAGAACATCTTCTCCAACCAGCACATCTTGATTTTAGAAGTCATTCAGTCAACTTCTTGAAGCTAAGACTTGAACCTAACTCCAAAGCAGCAATCAGATCCATGAAAATCTTCCTCTTCTTCCAATTCTTAAGACTGTGGGTGATATAAATAGGATTTAACCATTTTGTTTTTCTTTTTTTAAGTAACCACTGCAGTACTCACTGCATGGCTGTGATTGGGGGGGGGGGTGAGTTGGGGGAAAATGAGATCAATAAGTCTGTGTTTGGTTAATAATTACAGATGACATAATTATCTATGGAGAATTATAGAGCACTATAATTTTACTGAAGAAAACAAGTACAAATAAATTATATTGTTGCATTTGTCAAGTTTGGGGAATCATAAACAGACTGGAATAAATCCAAATGCAAAGTACATATTACACAGAGTAAACAGTCTTCCTCCCTCCCTCCCTCTTGCATTTCCAGATCAGATGACTTCAGCTCACAGACATACAACATGCATAACTGTTTAAGTAGCAAGTTTGAAAATTTAGGGAAAGTGATATATGTGTGTGTATCTGAAATTATGGAAGAATCATTTCTACACTGAAGTTGTAGTACCCATCATGGAACTGCTTGTCGGCCTATAAATATCCAGATTCATTGCTTGATCTGAGTTTTCCTCTCTTTAAATAGCCCATATACGGATATTAAAATGCCAATAATATGGAGTAGTCCTGAAAACTTCAAAAGTACTTAAAGAGTATACAGTTGGCATTGGACAAAACAGAGTTGTTCCCAATAAAGAAAAACTTAGCTTTTATATATGTATCAGAGTTTTAAAATTTATTGTATACTGACTTCTATGTCCAGAATTTAAAATTCATCATAATTAAAATAGAGTACAGTTTTCAGTGGCAAAGGAATTCCTCTTTAAAAAATATCTGCAGAACAAGGCTTCCATAAAATTTTCATAAAATTTATCCAAGCATTATAGCATATATAAGCAATTTGCTAAATCTCACAGGCCATAGCTGGAGCATTTTGTAAGTGCTCAGAATGCTTTCCATGAACACCAAGACATCAGAGTTTGGTCTACCAATGGCAGCTATTGGGTTTTTCTGGACATTATACGTGTAATTAGCATCTCTTGGGTGTGGAGAGAAGTTGAAGAGAGGCAAGATACATCCATCTTCCAAGAAAATAACTCTTGTAGATGCAGAAGCCCAGGGTGATGTTGGTTAAGGGCAGAGTTTTCATTTATCTCCTTTATGGCAGACAGGAAGGCCAAGATATGCTGGTAGTTCTGAATCAATACCCTACAAAGAGAGATCTATTTTGTGTCACAGTGTATCTGCTTATTATATGTCATCTTATACATTTCAGCTCAATTTATATTGTAAACCATACAGTCCTAACTACTCCTCACTATTCTAATGCTAGTTCATCTTTAAAAGATAGCTGCCCAACATTTTGTTGAGGTAGTCTTCACATCAGTTTTTTTTTTCCCCTCAAGAATTTTTCTTCTGGGGCAATGATTGGAAACTTCAGTGAGGTCCTTTAGGCTTTGGGGAAAATAAATCTAACATGTAGAATAATGCAAAGGCTATTTGAAGATACTGTAGATACTGGACGCAAGACAAAAAATAATAGGAAGGGTGTTAAATGAAATCCCAAAGAGTTGTCTTGGATGGGGTTACAACATTTCACAACTGGGCCATATTTGCCCTCCAGATTAGTCAATTTATAAGCAGACTCCATGGGCTAAGGTGCTGCTGTTTTTTTTGAAGCCACATTGAAAAAGTAAAATCAATAGAAAATGTCAAGTGCAGGTACATATGCATAGAAAACCAGTCGGTCTTAATTCCTCTAGAATTGTTTGTTGAAATCTCTCCCATGTAAAAAACTGAGAAGGGGTATAGAAAGTAATTCCAATACATTTGCTTAGTACCACTCAGACATCATGAATCTGAAGTACATTTTGCATTTGTGGAAATTCTAGGAGAAAGTTCAGAGAAAGTGGAAAATGTCCATAGAAAATGGATAATGGAAAATGATTAAAAAATTTTAGATGCAGATAAAGAGAGTTGGCTCACTGTATTTTATTCATATTTGTTCCTTATAGATGATGCGATGATTGAACGGCTTTGCATTGAATCTATTAAAAATAGTTCAGGCCTTGCCTTAAAAGACCAAATCATTTCTCATGGAGAAGAGGCTCCTTCAAGGTATCCTCAATCCCTGACCCAAGATGGAAGCTAAAGAGGCCTACACAAATGCCAGCTTAGATAGCCAGTCTATCCCATCCATCAGAAAACCATGAAATCAATGAGTCTTGCTTATTTCCTAAGGAAAAACATCTCTTTTGAAAGATTGTCTCAGAAATAAAACTGAAATTGATACAACAGTGGACCTATTGTAGTCCTCTGCTGTCCACTTAAACAAGCTGAGTTGTAATTTTCATGTTGAGGAAAAGCAAGCTATCCAGTAGTCCAAATGTTTAGGTCTAGATGGATAAAATTTCCATATATTTCTCCAATTAAGTTGGAATGATATAGACACAGTGCAAAGGACCAACATGCTGAAAGGGATGAACTTGGCTTCCTTAAAAATGTCAGGTAACTTCCTGGCTAGGAAAGCCACAGTCAACCTCACAACAACCGAGAACCCCATAAAGCCGAGAGCACTGTAAAACAGGGTTGTTGACCCTTCACTGCATTCTAATACAATTTTGCCAGCCTGTGACAGTCAGCAACTGGAAATGGTGGAGAGGTTGTGAATCATGCAACACAAATGGTCCCTTGAACAAGAGAACAGAAAAGGAGATAGACATGCTCAAGCTTTTCCCCATCCATTTCGACCTTCTGGTTCCAGGCTTAGATGACTTCACTAGTACACATCAAATTGCCTTCTCAGTTGCAACACCTGCCCTATTGAGCAGCCTCTCCCCAAAAATCCAGACTGCCCTGACCATGCTGGACTTTCAGAAAGCTATAAAAACTTGGCTTTTCCCACAGGCATTATGGCCAGGTCATTAGTGGAGCTAGATATTGGTGAATGTTGTTGACTGAGGATTATTTGTAAGGAGCCTCAGCTTTTATATTTTGTGTTTTGTATCAGATGTTTATTATGCAGTTGTATTTGTGCTGGTTTGTTATTGTTCTAGATTGTATTTGCTATTGTTCTAGATTGTATTTGCTAAGACGGGCAGCCATATAAATTAAATAATAATAATTTTGCTATGATAAAGAAGAAATGACACCTTCATGTCACAATGCAGACTCCACCCCTTACATATTAATGTTCAGTCTCACAACACAAGTACAAAAGAGGGAAACTTGCACCATGATGTCACGAAACACAATTCATCATTCTGGCATCATCATTCTTGGATACCATTTAGTTGTATTAGACTGGCTTAGAACATGGTCAAATCATGCTGATCTTTTGATTTGGTGCACAGAACACTTGCTATCCTGAGTCTTTGGATTTGGTTGCTAGAGGAAAAATGTGCATAAAGTGTTCTTTTCCCAAAACCACTTTTTAAAAATTGGGAATGAACCAAAAGATGAAGTATAGCTCCAAATTTTGTTGCACGTGGTTGGCTCAGGTAATCCAGCAGAACAGCCTACTGAATGTTCAGGGCTATTGGGCCACTTGAGAAGTTACCAGGCCAGCCCAAGCTAACATAGCAAACTGATGAATTGGAAACACTTCACTTCTGTGAAATGCTAAACGGGAAAAAAAAAAAAAAGTTTGATGATCCCTCTTTCTTTCCCTCTTTTGTACATTTGAAGACTTGTCATACTGGGTGTATATGACATTACTTTTGAACTTAAGATGCGACCCAAACACAGAATGAATGAAAATAGATAAATAATTTTATTATTTCATGCAATTTTGAAAAGTAGCTTTATACTTTGAGCACCATAGCATTATATTTTATATTTCTTGTTTTTAACCACCACTGTTCTTCAGTGAGAATATTCTTCCCTTCACTTTGAATTCTTGTGAAATGTTGCTTTCCCTGTCAGTTCATGCTGTAGCATTTCCTATGTTTGATCCAGGAAAACAAATATTTAAAAAGCCCTAATTCTCTATAAGGAGCTAAAATTTGGCCAATTACAGTTACATCCCTTTCACCCTTATTTCTTTATATGTATAAATATATAATGAGCAGCTTAACAGAGGCTCATCTATAGTGCAGGATCATACATAGCTTTAGCAAAGACAATGTTGGTCCAAAGGCCCTTTGTCAAAATGGCATACTTCTCCAACAAAGCAGTAACAGACAGCAATGATTCTTCTTTTTTATTTTAATAACAGAACACTGGGCTGTCAGAGAGCTAAAGTCACCATTAACATGTCCCACTAAAACCACTTAAAGTAGTCCAGCTGTTACAATGTCTTGTAGAAAGCTATACACATGGGTAACTTGTACTGAACTAACATGATATTAAATTCATTATTGTTTTCTTCGTATTAGGTGCTTTCTGCAGTTCATCTCAGGTTTCAACAAAATAATATATACTTTTGGAAGAAAGATGCATCCCAGTAATCCAAAGCTTGAGGCCAAGATGGAGAAAATTTCCACAGCCACCATGTATTTCCCCTTGGTACTCAAGTAAGTTGGAACAAAGGAGAGCCAAACACTGCAAAAAACCAGCATGCTGAAGGTGATGAATTTGGCTTCATTAAAACTATCAGGCAACTTCCTGGCTAGGAAAGCCACAGTGAAGCTCACAACAGCCAAGAACCCCATAAAGCCCAGCACACTGTAGAACATGGTTGTGGACCCTTCATTGCATTCTAATATAATTTCTCCAGCCACAGAGTGATTGTCAACATCTGGAAATGATGGAGAAGTTGCTAGCCATACAAAACAAATGATCACTTGACCAAGAGAACAGAAAAGAACAATGGAAATGGTCAGTCTTTTCCCCACCCACTTCCTCATTCTGGATCCTGGCTTGGTGGCCATGAAAGCAAGAACCACAATAATGGTTTTCGCTAATATACATGAAATTGCCATGGTAAAGATGATGCCAAAGGTTGTTTGCCGAAGAAGACATGTCAATCTTTTGGGATGACCAATGAAAATCAAAGCACAAAGGAAGGAAAGTGCAATAATGATAAGAAGAGTATAGGTAAGATCACGGTTGTTGGCTTTGACAATGGGTGTGTCCCTGTGCTTAAGGAAAATCCCAAATACTACAAGAGTGATGAAAGAAGAAATTAAAGAAGAAACAGTCAGACCGATGCCCAATGGTTCTTCGAAAGACAAGAAGCTTCTGCTTTTTAGAACACAATCATCCTTGCCCTTACTTGGATGTTCATCTTCTGAACATTGAAAACAGTAATCTGAATCTGAAAGTAAAGTAAGTTTTCAGTACATGGTTTGTTTTGTTTGTAACAACCATTGTAATGGTTTGTAATAACCATTAATGTTACAAAGGTCAGTATCATTATCTCAAAGATACAGTATATCATTCAGGTCAGTTTCCTCCTGCCCGCCCTCCCTCCCTCCCTCGTCTCAATATCTTTGGGTCACTTACATTTCGTTACCCAGCTAGGCAATATCTTCAGTGCTAGAATGGAATGGGGTTTGCTCTCTGTTTATATACTGTGGCATACTGTGACACATTTCTGAACCCAGAACAGCTGAAAAAGGAAACAGACCACCTATATAACATCTTCAAATAAAATGGATATCCATGCAACTTTATCAAAAAGGGCCTGACCACTCAACCTATTACAACACAACCAACGCAAGCCATGAAAAGGATAACACTGCAATACATCAGAAATGTCTCAGAAACTACCAACAGACTATTACAAACACATGGCATCTCTGTAGCACACAAACCAACTAAAGCCCTCCAAAACATCTTAAGCAAACCAAAAGACCCAGTAGCCCAAGAAGAAAAAACAGGAGTCATCTACAACATATAGTGTAAGGACTGTAACAATCACTATGTAGGACACATAGGCAGAAGGCTTCCATAGCGCATCCATGAACACCAACTAGCAGTCAGAAGACATGATGAAAACTCCTTGATCTCAAAACACATGGACAGACTTAACCATAGTTTCAACTGGGAAACTGTCAGCATCTTAGACCAAGCTAAATCCAAAAATG